TTCATACATCAAATGGCCAAACTTTAAAAAGAGAAATTGTTTTCATTTCCCTCAAGAAACTTTTGACTTTTGTTAGTAATTACCGCCCCCCCCCCCGCAAAAAAAAAAAGAAATGGTATCTTTCTGTGACTCTGTAATTACTTCAAAATTAAAGTGTCTAAAAACAAGTACACTGAGGGCTGGGTAGCTCAATTGATAGAGTGCTTGCCTCACATGCACAAGGCCGTGGGTTCAATCCCCAGCACAACAACAACAACAAGGAAAGAAATACACTGAATATGTATTGGTAAACAATATAGCACTCCTGAGCTACAGACCTGGATTTGCCACTATCAGATACCTTCATATATAAAAGTAGCAGTATTCAGTTATTTTCTAATGGATCTTCCAATCTGGCCATTCAAAAACTATACCTCTAGAAAACACAGGCTTAAATACAGGTTCTATCAACAGGAAACCAAACTAAACTAATAAAGGAGTGCAGATTGTACTTTTATTTTTTTTTTTTATCAATCTCATTTTTAATTTTTTAATTTTTTTTTCAAACCATAAAATATTCTTTTTTTTTTTATTGGTTGTTCACAACATTACAAAGCTCTTTTAATACCTTAGACAATAAGCCAGCTTTTGCTTAACTACAGCTTTATTTGAGTTTTAGTGAAAGAATCTATGGATGGGAAGAAAATAATATACTGGCGTTTATGACCTGCAAATCTTTCTAGAAAGTATATTACTATAAATAAAAGATGACACATTGAAGTTTTTGCTTTTTAATATTCATTTGCTTTTTTGTATTTTTTATTTGTTTTAATTAGTTACACAGGACAGTACAATGACCTTGACATACCATACATTTGAATCAGATGGGATATTATTCCTCATTTTTCTGAGTATACAGGTTGCAGAATCATATTGGTCATGCAGTCACATACATACACACAGTAATAATAATGTTTGTTTCATTAGATTTGCTTTTTAATTTTAAAAAAGTTTACAAGATTATGCATCTTTCCATTTAGATGGAAGAAAAGGGACAAAGAAGAAAGAAGTACACCTAATACAAAAGCAGGTACATCTTCACACTTCTAGCACCATGGAGAGATGCCACAGAGCAGGTTAATCAGTCTGATACAGTAGAACACTGAAATTTAAAGAAAAAGACTTCACTTCATATCATCCACTAAGTAGCTATGATCTTGGATAAGACACTCAGAAGTTCTAGAACTTAATTTCTCAAAAATGTGAAAAGACATGAACTTTTAGGGAATTTCAAGTATAAAGAAAGTTCCAAATGTAATCTTTCTGAATTAAGTTTTTAAAATAATATTTGAAAAAAACTCTCTCCCCTCCTAATACTCTGGCTCAAATTTTCATAGGGAAGAATAATTTTATTCGTGAGTCTACTTATATTAAAATAAATAAATAAATGTAAAACACAGTAAGTTGAAACAAGATACAAAGGTATTCATTTTATTTATGAAAAAGGCAAGTAAAGCTAATGACTTCCTGGATTGGTACGGGGTGCTTAGGATAGAAGTGATCAGTTTTTAATTCAGTAATTAATTCTATAGAAAAACTATTTATTTTCTTATTATTTAATCCTCACAGTGAGTTGAAAAGAATATAAACCCTTTAGAAAACACATAACTGAGGCTAAAGTTTAGAGTTAAACTTTAAAATAAAGACTGCCAATTTCAAAATCCATGCCCTTTCCAAGACAGAAGTCACATACTTAGGTGTGAAATGAAAATGCCCCCCGCAAATAAAATGACATTGCTTTCCCAAAAATTAAATTCCACAGCAAAATTTTACCTGAGTTGTTCTTCTCTGTATCATAAGTAACTTATGATAACAACACAGACAAACTCTGAACTGCATCACCAAAAATCTCAGATACCAAATAGCAACTGCACAAAATTAAAACTGCACACAAAACTAGGCTTGAAAATTCCTCATCAATTATATAATGCTATATACATGGTTTTATGTTTAGGACTGTTAAAAAAAAAAAAAGAATGTAAAGTAGTACTGCCACTGTGGAAACTAATTTGGCAGTTAATCAAAAAGTTAAACACAGAACTAGAATATGTTCAGTAATTCAACTTCTAGTTATATACCCAAAGAACTGAAAGCAAAGATCTGAACTGACATTTACACACTGATGTTCACAGCAGCTTTCACAATAGCCAAAAGGTGGGAATAATTCAACAAATGGATAAACAAAACAAGGTATACCAATACGATGGATTATTAAGCCATAAAAGGAATCAGATTATGATGCATGCTATAAAATAAGTGAATTCTGAAAATGTTATACTTAGTAATAATAAGTCAGTCACAAAAAGACAAGTATTTTATGAATCCACTTGTATGTGGTGTCAAGAAAAGGCAAGTTTATAGAGACATTTTGAGTGGGGGTTGCGGGGAATGGAAAGTTAAACTATTTAATGGGTACAGAATTTCTGCTTAGGATAACAAAAAACAACTGAAAACAGACAATAGTAATGGTTACACAATGTTGTGAATGTACATAATGCCACTAAGTTGTATACTAAAAGATGGTATTACATATTTTATCATAGTAAAAAACACACAAAAGTAAATATGCCATGTATTCCCTTAAATAAATAATAAAAGAGTACAAATGCAAAAATTGTATTTGATTGTCATATTCAAATTAACTAATCCTTTAATATTCTGCCAATCTAATAGCTAATTTTCTTTTTTTAAAATATATGTATTTTTTAGTTGTTGATGGGCCTTTATTTTATTCATTTATTTATATGTGGTGTTGAGAATAGAATCCAGTGCCTCACACATGCCAGGCAACCACTGGGCCACAACCCCAGCCCCTAATAGCTGAATATCTAATAAGATAAACGCATGTGATACAACTTCGATGATAGTTGCATTGAAATTACACTGCCAACTATATTATATGTACTCTGTAATTACACATAATTAAAAGCTATTTATAAACATAAACACATATATACTGTGATCTAGAATAGACTCATTAAAATTCCCATTAAAATCCCATATACATAGAACTGTAAACTGTAAGTTTTTTAAAGATCTATAATATAATTATAATACCACATACTTTATATTTTATTTAACTAGTGTTTTTTAACTATAAAATTGTTGTTTACTTCAATGTCTATTCTCACTGGAATAGAGCCAAAAAGGTACTAGTGCATCCCATTTATTTTATTTATTTATTTTGAGCTGAGGAGGCGGGTAGTGGGGATTGAACTCAGGGACACTGAGCCACATCCCCAGCCCTATTTT